TGCAGAAATAAGTGAAATCCCTCCAAGGGAAAGAGTTATTCGTACAGAATGTAAGTGACCTCTGCTTAGTTCCTAATATGAAATTGTCAACAAAGTTTAAGGTGCCATAATTTGAGAAGTACAAAGGCAATTCTTGTTCCTATGACCACCTGGTGATGTATATCAGAAGGATGTCCACTCATAGTGATGACCAAAGTTTTCTTATTCATTTATTCCAGGATAGTTTAACGGGTGCTGCATTGAAATGGTATATGGGATTGGACAGTAGAACATCCGCACATTCAATGACTTGGGTGAAGCTTTCGTAAAACGGTATAAGTTTAACATGTTAATGGCACCTGACTATGACTGTGATACGGTGGGAGAACTGACTTGAGGTGTTTTGCGTTTGTATTCGAAAATGTTGCGGTTTAGCAAGAGTCGCCACCGACTTTTCTATTATCCAAAAGGAAATGTGAAAAAGCACAGGAAAGACCTTTAGAGATGTTTTCTTGGGTTCGGGGGGTAGATTATGAAAAGGGGAGGTATTAGCACCCTTTTCATCCATGGTTTTCCATGGGCTCTTAGTTACTCGCTAGATCAACTTGATTTTGTTTGAATGTGTGCTTGTGGTGTGGTTTTTAAAAGTATTTTGAAAATATAACTTTGTAATGATTCTCGTTTCTATAAGAACGCATACAAAGTGTTTGTTTCGAAAATATTTTCAAGAAAGTGTTTGTGAGATGTGTTTTTGAAAGTGATTTTGAAAAGGGGTTTTCTTTGTAATGGCTCTCGTTTCTATAAGAACGCGTACAAAGTGTTGTTTTCAAAAGTGTTTCAAAATGAGAGTGTTGGTGTACAAAATGTTTTTGTTGTGAGCAAGCGAGTAACTAAGAGCAAACCTACCTACTCAAAAGGTCTTAGATGTGCTTTTCCTCCTCCTTTAGATGTTGCCATCTTCCCATTGATTTGGTAAGAAGCCCCATCGTTGGATGTGAAGGGACAGGCGTTGGGACGTTTGTATAGTCATAGAAGGCAACCCATGGAACGTTTTAGCAATTTCGTTTTAGGGACTAGATCGTTTACCGAAGGCAACATCGAGGGTCATCGAGGGACTACGATATTTTATCGAGGGTCTTTTGCTAAAACGCCCATGTTCGAGGGACATGACTATTTTTCCGAAAGGGCAACAAAAATGAGATTACCCTAGAGATGCTAGTGTGCAAGTGTGTTGGTTTGTATGCATTTTGTCTTGTATTTGAAAGTCATCTATTTATTGATTTTATCTTGCTATACGTCCTATTTACTAACAATATATGAAAAGCAAGTAAAATGCGGAAAATAAAATATAAGCTATTACATCGCTTTAGGGGGGTGGGGGTACAATTTAACAATGGGGATGAAGTGGGGACTGAAATATTACAACCATATCGAATGATAATGAAAACAAAGTAAAAACAGTGTAAAATAAAAGGAAAACTGCATTTTGAACTGCTATGTGTCGACCCATGCTGCTATGCATCGACACATAGCTTTTCCTTGCTCCTGTAAAACAAAATCTGCTCAGTATGAGTCGACACATAATGGGATGTGTCGACTCATGCACCTTCTTGCATTGATGCGAAATGCGTATGTGTCAACTTATAGTCTTTTCCCACTTCTGTTTTGTAACCTAAAATCAGTATGAGTTGATGCATGGGGGTTATGTGTCGACTCATACCCTATTTTTTCACTAGGATGAGTCGACACATGAGGATATGTGTCGATACATGCTGTATTTTCTTGCTTTAAACATTGTTTTTCTTGTCAGTACAGGTTAGCTTACAACATATGATGGATGAACATAAATAACAAATGATTGAATAAGCCTAAACCATAAGCAAATGACTAGTTCAAAGGGATAATAAAATACTACATCATATCTTCAAAAACAATAAATTGTCAATGATGTATGAAAAGATATCAAGTCAAGAAGACTTGCCTTTTGGGCTACACCGGCTGTTTTAGATCTGAATGCTTTCAGGAAGTTGCTCCGGGTTGTTGAAACTGAGTTAGATTGTACTGTATTTGTTTTTTTCTTGGTGTTTTTTGAAGGTGAAGATGAATAGCACTACAGGGACTGTTTTTATGTTTGGACAATCTTTTAGGTGATGAGGTGTTTGGCTTATGGGAGAGTTTGTATGATGGAGTAATGGGTTGAGATTATGTTTTGAATAAGAACATATATGGTTTTGAATGAATGAGTCAAGGTTACAAAGAATATTGTTTTTCTTCTCAACAAAACTCTTTATCCTCTCTCTAATTTCCAACCTCTCAAAAAATCCATCCCCTTTTATGTCTTATGAGACAGTCCCTTTTGTAGACCCTTGACTGTGGTTTAGGGGGGAAACCAAATAAGTTATTTTGAATTCTTTTTGCCTACTGTTTTGACACTTTCTTGACATAATTTTCCTTTGCCATTTTGGTGCAATTTTGGGGTTGTTATGATGCAGGCTTGGGCAGACTGCATAGAGCAGTTTTGGACTGTATTGGCCAACATGCATACTTGGGGTGCAGCATAGCACAAGCTTTATTGCAGGGCAGCATGGGGTGTTGAGGCAATGTGGCATATCACATTTTGTTCAACTTGGACAGTATGATTTTTAGCATGACACGGATTTGGTCTTGTGGAATATTTTATGTACATTATGTCAAGGGCAAAATAATGTGGCAAGGTTTCTTTGAGAGAACTCAATCAAGACATAGTTTTAGAATTTATAATTTTTGCAAAAATGCCACTTTGTAATAACTTGAATTACTTGCATCGTTTTGAATTATTTAGAATTGTAGCAAAAAATATCATGAAGTAAATGAAATTAACCAAGTATAGAAAATACTTAGAAAAACTTCAAAGTCTTGCAAAGTTGGATTTTTTATTCTCTTGATTTTTGATGATCAAACTTCGTTTTTGGATGTCTTGACATAACGTGATTTTTGAGACTCAAATTTGGTCAAAAAGTCAAAGTTTGACTTTTAGCGTCCGGTTGACTTTTTCCAGCTGAAACTCCAATTTTGCTCATTTTGCCCCCCTTTTGATAATTTGAATGATTCTTCTTAGAAAATATGGTCTAAGGCTTGAAACTTGACTGAAGTAATTCCAAGAGTCCTCGAGACATGAGAGAGAAATTTTTTGGGTACAACAGCGACCAATTGAGAGCGATGGCTCAGAAAGATAAGGAGTCATTTAAAGAGTATACGCAGCGTTGGTGCGAAGTTTCTACCCAAGTGGTACCCCCAATGGGAGAGCAAGAAATAACTAAGGTCTTCCTAAAAATCCTTGGTTCATTTTACTATGAAAAGATGGTTGCAAGTGCACCAAGTGATTTCACTGAGATGGTAAGTATGGGTGTACGTCTAGAGAAAGTTTTCAGGGAAGGACGAGTGACAAAAGATGAAGGTTCTAGTGGAATAAGGAAATCGTCATATGGGTTTTCTAAAAAGAAAGTAAGTGAAACAAATGTTGTTGCTGAAGAAAGAAGAGTTAGACCTCCAAGAAGACGTCATCAGCATCAACAACAGGTAGCCTCTGTAACTCCGGTTGTCCGTGTGGCTCTGACTGCTATTTCTTATCCGAGAGCACTGCATCAAGATAATCAAGGGCAAGGTCAGAAGAGAGAAGCTTTTGATCTTATTCTGATGAGTTATACATAGTTGTTTCCAACTTTGATTCAAAATAAATTGGTGCAGACTTGTCCTCCCCCAGCTATACCTTCAACTGTACCATGGTATTGTAAGGCGGATCAGACTTGTTCTTTTCATCAAGGGTCCCCTGGGCACAACATTGAAAATTGTCATCCGTTGAAGTCTGAAGTGCAGAAGATGGTAAGATCTGGTCTCCTGTCTTTTAAAGATGTTAGTCCCAATATGAAGGATAATCCACTACCCAAGCGTGGAGGTGGAAGCACTATAAATATGGTTGTTGGTTGTCCTGGGGACTTCAAGATTTTTGATATCAATATGGTCAGAGGTGATTTAGTGAAGATGCATGCCAATCTTTGTGAATTCAGCTATTACACACATGACCATGCCGCTTGTAGTGTTTGCAGTACGGACGTCCATGGATGTCGTAAAGTGAGAGCAGATCTTCATGAAATGATGGATGAAGGTCTTATCCACATAATCAGACTATCATACCCCAAATTTGTCCGCCTTAGTGCTACAGTCAAAATTATTTTCAAAATTAGGTTTTAAAATTCTTTTGGTTCGTTTACACTAACATTCTTTGGTTTTTATAAATATTTATTTTTAAATAATTTTTCTTATTTAAAAATATATATAATAATTTATTTGTATTTTTTTAAAAATAGCAAATACTTGTTGCTCGTCTTCATATACTTTCAATTGGATTTTTGTTTCAAATAAGCAACATAGCACAATTGGTAAGGAATAAAGCTTGCAAACATAAGTTCATGGTTTTGAATCTCACTTTGTGCACTTCGAATATTTTTCTATCTATATGTTACTAATTTTATTTTTATTTATATTAAAAAAACACAAAAAAGCCATTTTTTATTATTTAAATATTATTTTCGTACTTTTAATTAATGTATTTTTAAAAAAAAAATTATTTGATTTTATGCACTTTTTACCAAAATTGAGTGCAAAAATTATAATAAATACCAAAAATATTTACTTTTATGTTTAATTGTTTTTTATTGGTCAATCAGTATCAGTTTGTGTCATACTCATCTAATGATTGGTTAGTTTCATGACCAAGGAAAATTTGATTTGTCAATTAACTTTATTTACTAATTTGTTGACCTAATTATCACTACAAATAGGTCACTCTTTCACACTATTTTTCATGGACAACTCACTAGAGTTCTCCTAAAAGTTGTGGCTCTTCATATCGAAGAATAACAACAAAGAAACCCTAAAGTCTCCATCAACAATCATTTGGAGATCAACAATACTATCAACAACTATTTTAGGGTTCTGAGCAGAACACTTAAAAATTTTCTCACTATTAGGAGGCCACTTTTCTAATCCTTGTTCCAAACACACACAAACTCACATACATGATTCACACACGGTACATATTTTTTACACAATTTCCACACCTTTTTTTTACACCTTATATCTTGACTTTTCAACAATACTAACCTGCACAATATAAAACACCAAAAATTTATAACATTCAAACATAAACTTTTTTTCACAAATTCATCACTGCATCCAATTTGCATATACCTGTGAATATTTTCAACACTTATCACTAACATTCACCATACTAACACAAAATCAATAACAACATCAGCATTAAATTTGTACAGAATTTTGCTTTCTTTTTTTTCTCTCTGTAGAAAAATAGAGAAAGTAGATAGAAACCCACGCGCATTCGGCTTCAACCCACGCTGCCAAGCTCAAACGAGTCACCGTCTCGCCGACAATATCAACTACGATCCACCAACAACTCCGACAGCCCATGATGTTCCAACCTATAACCGCGAGCGACTCTGTCATGGCTCTAATTGGTACCATATTCCGTCACAGATCCACCGTGAGACTTAATCGATTCAACATCTCCAGTCCTCACCAAAACACACTTCCACCGCGGCTACCATTTGTTTCGGCCGGACCTCCGTCGAAGAACGCAATACACCCACATTGCCACCCTTTATCGCGACTCTGACTGATAGATTTCTTCTCACTTTTTTGTTTTTTTGGATTCAAGTCAGATGGAGTTTTGGGTGTAATTCGTGTTTAGTATTGTTGGAACTGCTTGTGGACTTTAACAGATTGAGAGTGATGATTTTTATAAGTTTGATTTGGTTATGTCTCTGGATTTTTCTCTGAAGCGTTTGCAGTTGACAAGAGAAGAGAGATCAGATCTCGTTCTTTTCTCTTTTCGTGTTATAAGAGCATTTTAATATTTTGTTTTTTATTTCACTATATCTCTCATGCTATTCGCTAAAGAATTTGGGTTGAAAAGTCAAAACTCATCACTAAGGGAATTAAGGGTACGTCTTTTAGTTTCTTTCTTTTTTTCTTTAATTAATTGTTATATATATATATATATATATATATATATATATATATATATATATATATATATATATATATATATATATATATATATATATATATATATATATATATATATATATATATATATATATATATATATATATATATATATATATATATATATATATATATATATATATATATATATATATATATATATATATATATATATATATATATATATATATATATATATATATATATATATATATATATATATATATATATATATATATATATATATATATATATATATATATATATATATATATATATATATATATATATATATATATATATATTAGTTTTCTTTTATGTTTTATAGTTCAACTTGATTATTTTAGTCTATTTTGTAGAATTACTATTTTAATTAGTTAGTTAGGCTTATTTAATTGAAATCATTTTTTAAGTTAGTAATTTTAGTGATTTATTTAGTTAATCTTGTTTATTTAAAAAATAATAATATTAAAAATGCTTGTGATTTATTTTGTTAAAGAAAAATACCAAAGTGTTTAACTTGTTTTATTTAATTAGAATTAAATCATAAATTTCGTATATTCAAACACTTTTTCAAATTAAATTAAATTCAAACATGTTACGAATAATAGGATAAATGGATTTTACATCCTCGAATAATCGTTTGGTTGACTTAACGTTTACCAATTAATTATTCAAATCAACTTCTAAAAAATCACTGACAAATCAAATGATTTTCTTCGCTCCAGGCGATTTAATTATAATGAAGATCTACTCTTCTTAAATCAAACTTAAAATAGCTAACCAATAAGAAAACTATTTTTTTATTAACTTAACAAAAACTACAAGATATTTTCAAAAAAAAAGATTAAATAGCATTGCTTTTGAACTTAATTGCGAACTGCGTCTACGATCACTCTCTTTTCAAACCCAGACAAGGTTCAAGGATAATTCAAAAACAATTCTATGCAATCCTATAAAAAAATACAACCAAACACTACAGACTACGAATTGGGACTCTAATTCCTCATAAGAGGATACATAGGCATACGACTTAAAAACCATGGTGAATCCCCTAACTAAAAAATTAAAACCATATTCCTAAACCTTAAACATAAACCCTAGTATCCTTGTGAACAAGGTAGATAAAGGGTACCTAACACCTTCCCTTTGTCTAAAGTGAATCAAGAACTTAAAATCTATGCATCATCAATTAGGTTTATTCTGTTATGTTCCCATCTTAGGATAAAAATCAATGGTGGCGACTCATTATTATTTTTTCCAGTTATTACACAGACCAGGGGATGAATATGAAGAAGAAGTGAATATGGTTTATGGTTTCCCCGGAGAATTTTGGATTTTTGATGTAAACTATATGGATGATGATCTGGTACGGCTGCACGCCATATTTTATCACATGGATGGCCATAAAGTACATCATTGTGGGTCATGTCAGATCTACTGTAAGGATTCTTGTAGTTGTTTTGTTATAAGAAGAGGTGTTCAATTGTTGTTAGATAAAGGTACTATTAGAGTCACAGGAAACAAAGATGATTATAATGGAGTTAATGTGATTGAAGATTACTTTGTTGAAGTCGTGTCTAATGATGAATATGTTTCTGCTGATAAGTTCTTTTCTTCTGATGAAAGTATGTTTTCTGACAATGATTCCCTGTTTCTTGAGTATTATGAAGAAGCATGGGTAAATGTCATTGTGCCATATTTTGGTGTTCCTGCTCCTGTAGAAAGTGCGTACTATAGCAATTCAGTTGTTTCTCCCGTGGTTATTTGTCTTCCTGGTCCTGTCACATATGAATCAGATAAAGTTGTGCCTTATAAATACAGTGCGACTATCCTGGAAGATGGTGTGGAAATTCCTATCCAACCTTTTTCCCATGTTGAGAATACTGTTGAAGCTAGTCGGGTAACTCGTAGTGGTCGTGTCTTCGCCCCTACCTTTTGAGGAGATGTTAATTTTGGTAAGAAGGTCATTGAGAATGTTGAACCTAAGAAAGTGGTAGGAGAATCTAGTGGCATTGCATTGGAAAAGGATGTTGATGATCTGTTGAAAATCATCAAGATGAGTGATTACAAGATTGTGGATCAGTTGTTGCAAACTTCATCTAAGATTTCCATTTTAGCCTTATTGATTAACTCTTCTGCTCATCTGGGATCTTTGATGAGGGTGTTGGATCAGGTTTTTGATGAAAGGGATATGTCTCTGGATCAGTTCAACGGTGTTGTGGGGAATATTACGTCTTGTAACAATCTGAGCTTTTGTGATGACGAGTTTCCAGATGAAGGGAGAAACCATAACCTGGCTCTGTATATTTCTATGAATTGTAAGAATGAATCTCTTTCCAATGTGCTTCTAGATAATGGATCTGCTTTGAATGTCATACCGAGAAACACTCTTATAAAGCTTAAGTACCAAGGAACTTATATGCACCCTAGTGGCATTATAGTAAAAGCTTTTAATGGTTTGAGAAAATCTGTCGTTGGAGAGGTGGATTTACCTATTCACATAGGTCCGCACTTATTTCAAATCACCTTTCAGGTTATGGATATTGTCCCAGCCTATAGTTGTTTACTGGTACAACCTTAGATCCATGAAGCAATAGTTGTAACTTCAACCTTGCATCAGAAGTTGAAATTTGTTCGTGAAGGACAGGTATTCATTGTGAATGTCATACCGAGAAACACTCTCATAAAGCTTAAGTACCAAGGAACTCCTATGCACCCTAGTGGAATTATAGTAAAATCTTTTGATGGTTCGAGAAAATTTATCGTTGGAGAGGTGGATTTACCTATTCACATAGGTTCGCACTTATTCCAAATCACCTTTCAGGTTATGGATATTATCCCAGCCTATAGTTGTTTATTGGGACAACCCTAGATCCATAAAGCAATAGTTGTTACTTCAACCTTGCATCAGAAGTTGAAATTTGTTCGTGAAGGAAAGGTAGTCATTGTGAATGGTAAGCAAGCTCTGCTGATATCTCATTTGTCTTCCTTTAGCTTTACAGAAGTTGATGAAGTCGTAATTAGAACTCAGTTCCAAGCTTTGTCTATTGATAATATAAGGAAGAATGAAGATTCTATCACCTCATTTAAAGATGTGCAGCAGGTAGTGCAGAAGGGCCCTAGCAAGGTGTGGGGGAAGGTTATTAATCCACCTGTGAACAAGAATGAGACTGGTTTGGGTTTCTCCATGAAGAAGGAAGTTGTAAAGCCAAAGTCTGCTTTGAGTAAATATCAAGAAAATTTTCACAGTGCAGGATATCTCCATCCGACTACTCCAAAGATCAATGTTATTCTCGAAGATGATTCAGAAAAAGAGATGTCGGACTTTGTGACACGTGGAGTTAGAATCCAGAATTGGATCACTGTGGATGTTCCTTCTTGCATTCACATTTCAAAGTAATTTGTTTTTGTTTGTCTTTTCAAAAATATTTCACTCTGCCCAAGGTGAAAGTGGTGATGTATGGGCATGTCTTTTGTTTTGATTTTTAAGATCATTAATAAAAGTTGTTTTTGATTTCTAAATTGTGTCTTTATTTTCTGTTTTTCTTGAAAAATGGTAATCAGAAAAAACCTTTCAAAATAAATGATAACTGTAAATAAATCTGCATAATCACTTGTTACATGTATCAGTTTCTAAAATCAATCATAAATCATATGTGTAGATTAATTAAAAAAACATGGTTAATTCAATGAACCTGCACCATCTCCCAACTTTGAATATTCTGTGTATGTGGCTGAAGAAGAAGAATATGATGAAATCCCAGAAGATGTTTCACTGTTGCTCGAGCGCGAGGAAAATACCATTCAGCCGTATAAAGAGTCGTTAGAGACGATTAACTTGGGTTCAGAGGAAGATCTGAAAGAAGTCAAGATTGGGGCACTGCTTCATCCCAATGTGAAGAGTAGGTTGATTGAGTTGCGGAAAGAGTATGTGGATATCTTTGCTTGGTCTTACCAAGACATGCCTAGTTTAGATACTGATATTGTGGAACATTATTTTCCTCCAGGATGTCCGCTAATCAAGCAGAAGCTACGAAGAACTCATCCTGACATGGAAGTAATGATTAAAGAAGAGGTTTTGAAGCAGATTAATGTTGGTTTTCTCGTGACATCAGTGTACCCTCAGTGGATTTCCAATATTGTTTCAGTACCAAAGAAAGATGGAAAAGTCCACAAGTGTGTTGATTATAGATATTTAAACAAAGCAAGTCTGAAAGATGCTTTCCCATTGCCCCATATTGATATGTTGGTTGATAGGACAGAAAAATTCAAAGTGTTCTCGTTCTTGTACGGATTTTCCAGATACAATCAAATTAGGATGGCTCCTGAGGACATGGAAAAAATAACATTTATCACACCCTGGGGAACATTTTTCTACATAGTGATGCCTTTCGGGTTGAAGAACGCTTGTGCAACATACCAGAGGGCTATGACAATCCTATTCCATGATCTGG